CTGGCAGCATTTAGAGGGAACAAGCGTGCTTTTTTCCCCTTCTCTTTTGAAGGACAGTTTATGTTAATTGCTGTAATGTTTCCAAAATTGGAAACTAAAGTGGTTGCTCTAGAGGTACTTCTATCCACTTCTGTTTTGATTTTATTTTACTTGTGATAAGTACATTGACAGAATTTTGTTACTTTCTAAAAAACTCTGATGTCTGAAATGAATTGTAAGTGTAGGCATATCAAACTATGCTTTATTTTTGAAACATTGGGTGTTTGCTCTCTCTTTTTGAAAATCATGGAAAAAATGCATGGTTAGTTTTTATGCCACCTTAAGATTTTGATTTGTTCTTTCATACCCTTTTTGAATTCTTTACATTTAAAGTAAATGTAGTATTTTGAGGTGGTTTTGTGTTAAAAATGAGACTGGAAGCCGTATAAAATAAGTCCTCTTGGCCTTAGTGCAGATTTCACGTGTATCCAAGCTTCCTGTCCTCAATATTAAAACTTTACTTTTGATTGGCACATTGACATAATTCTGTTTTGTTCTCAAAGGCTGGATTAGGGATTGGATAGAATGCAGAGTTTTTGCTGAAGCGTGGGAGCACAAGCAGTTTGCTTCAGCAGGGAGAGGCATCTGCATTGGCACGGTTGCATTTCAGTTTGAAGGAGATGCGTGTAATTTTCAGCAAGCTTTGCCTTAAGCAGTAGAACTCAAGCAGTCAGGTTTCCTAGAGGCTTGTATCTATGGATTATCTCATGTATGTTGAGGTGGGAATTCACTGTAACTTCATTTAGTCAGACATGCATGAAATCCCTCTGTTAGCTGGCTTCCTAGTTTTGTGAAAAGTTTCTAGGTCCAACTTGTTTGTTTGCTTGTTTTAACCTCTGTCACACTGAACAGCAGTTCTTGGAATTGGGAATGGGATGACACAAACATAGACTTGGAAGCAGACTAAAATTAGGATCTTATTGAATCCTCACTTAACTGCTAGGTAAATCGTAGGGATTTGAGTTTGCTCTGTGTTGTTATGCATTATGTTTGCCTTGTTTGTGGTGGAGAATTTAGAAAATGCACATAGTTCTTCACCAGCCAGCTTTCAAAGCAATTTCAATGCACTAGGTAACATAGAAGAAGGCAGTCAAACTCCTAGATTGAATATTGTTTATTTCCAAATGCTCTGTTTCTCCTCTTCATTTTTTATCACTTATATGGTCTTGCCTTTGCAAGAGCTAAAATCATCTTACTGAAATAATGTGGTTCATCCAGTTTTCCTTGCAATTTTATTCCATTTTTTCAAGTTGAAAATTGGGAATAAGCAGTTAGTAAGTAAAACCAACAGTCCCAGATATTGCAAGCAGCAAATTATACCTTCCTTGCTTTCCTAGGCTTCTGTTGAATGTGTACTTTAATGTTGGTCAGTGAAGTATTAATTTAATTTAGAATAAAGACTTAAAATCACTTCTACAAAGTTGCTGTCTTGTTTAAAACCAAAATTTGTACAAGCAATAGAAAAATTTTTACATTATATTTAATAGCGAATACCTAATTGGCTCACACCATTTTGGAATCCAGTCAGTGGAAGCATGTTTTTAAGATTTAGGAATCAGAAATATGGATGCACAGAAAGGGAAAATGGCTGCTTCTGCTGAATAGATTTCAATACTGCTTGGAGTTACATTTACCTCTTATATCATATGTTTTTCTTTTGTTTTGAAAGATTTTAAGTATATTAGAAGAGAGCTTGCAGTGTTCTAATGAAGTAATTAAAATGAATTTGTCTGCATAACATTGTGGATGGGTTTCTGTTCTGTAGCATGCAACATGGTATAGTGTGGATTGACAATAACTTTCCTCATTAATTTTGCCCAATGTTGCTGGGTGTTTTCCAGCTTTTTTGGCCAAGTGATCTGTCAGGATATGTGAGTTATCTTTAAGGAGGTGCACTGAAAAAAAGACATGGGGAATACTGAAGCTTTTTGAAGCTCTGCTTATTGTCTTGTTACAAACATGTCTCTGACTTGCCTGGATTGTGGAAGTCCTCATGTTTTGTCCTTAATGGCTATTCATTAGTGGTAAGATTCAGCAAAGAACTTGAGTATACCTAAAGGTTACAAACTGCAGTGTCCAAGTGCACCACATGCTTCCTAGAGAGAGAGAGAGAGGCACAACATGCTTCATACCTGTCATGGTTCAGATTTATACTCAAGTCACAGGACAGTCTTAATTTTGTGCTATTCAGCAAAAAGGTATATTGAATGAGAGAAGTGTAGTTTTGAAGTCTAGTAGTTAATTCAGTTTTCTGGGAAATGGGAAATGCAGGCTGTAGTTCCTGTAAATTATTCCATGCCTTTATTAGGTCTCAGGTTCTGGCTGTTATGTGCTGTAATTGAAGCAGGGTCTGTTTGCTCTTCTATTTCTTAGATGGATGCTGCCATTAAAATTGGTGTTTAGTGTTTGTTGGGTGCATTGTTCTTTCTTCATATGGCTAGTTGCTTACAAGAAAGTGGATTAACTATTTTTTAGGCATTTTTTCAGTGTAGGGCTTGGTCACAAACACTGTGGACTCATTCCAATGTCATGGGGCAGATCTAGCTTTTCAGTTCCCTACACTACTTGGCCCTGCGGTATATTTTTAGCTTTTGTTCAGTTCTCTAAACTGTGATGATTGTGATCTTTTGGATATAAACTTCCATAGAGTAAGCTGGCAACAACAGGTTTTATTTGCTTTTGCAGGAAATTGGATTTTACCTAGTGGTGATATTGCTTGCTTCTAGCAAAACTATCCATTTTTATTCACTTCTGCAATTCAATAACCCTTTCAAGAAAGGACCTTGTTTCCTTAACCTTTCTAACTGGGAGCCACATGGGAGGGGCAGGGACAGAAATCCAATGGCATCAACCTGGTGCTGTCTCACTCCCCACTTCCAGAGGTACCAGAGCAGCTGAGGCAGAGCCAGAGGCAGATGTGTTGTTCCTCTGCAACACATCTGGGGTTAATTGTGTCCTCTTCTGTCTCATGAGACTCCTTCATTTTCTCTGTGCCTAAGGACTAATGTTTTGTGTGGGTAGTAGATGATTTTTAGATGGGTGTAGCAATCCCTTCTAGTGATTATGTGCACCTTGAAATAGGGCAGGACTGGATTTATAGGCCTCTGAGTATGACCTTTGCCTGTTGGTTCCTCTGTATTTTTCCTTTTTCATTTTCTGCATTAATAAATATACTAATTTGTGAGTTTATGGTATCATTCCTGCTTTATAAATCATATTGTAATTACACATGAAGGTTGCTATCTGGTGAGCATTGTGTAGTACTAGGGACTCCTAGTTGAGGTAGAGACTGAATCTTCTTGTGACATCACAAGAAAAAATTTTCTAAGGAAATAAAGAAAGCATTAAAGCATTTCAATATAGTTTCCAGAGTGATTGCACAACTAAGGATCAGGTACTAAGAGCTTGTCTTGTTTATTGATACTCATGAATATATTAAAAACTGACAATCCTGTAAATTTCTACTGCTTTTTAGTACACAGCCATGAATACTTTACATTTACTAGTGGATGGCTCTGTGGGAACATTGTTGGTAGGGAGTAAGCAAGCTATTTGGATTAATTTGGTGTTTTGTGCCTTTTTTACTTCTCTTTAAACACTACTGTTTACACTTTTGCTAAGTACAGTTTGACAGTGGCTGAAATACTGGTGACAGCCAGAGGTAGCATTTACCATGAGTAAACATTAACTCATTACCATTGTCATTGGGAGCAGTAGTGACAAACTGGGTGGGGAGTGGGATTGGTGGAGGAGAGAGCAGTGGTCTAATTAAAACACAGCCTTTGGTTACCTCTTTAACTTGGGAAGGGAGATCTTCAGCTAGACAAATCCTATTTTTAAAATTGGGTAATTAATAGTCCTATTCTTGCATTTTGTATTGTTTTCAGTAAAAATGCAAACTGCCTTTATCATTTCCACCTTTCAAAAGACACATAATTGAAAACTATTTTGTTATTTGAGGTGCTTCATTGAATTGCCTTCAAAAAGGAGATTATCCCCCCCCCCCCATCTGAATGAACATATTTAGTCATTTGCTGAATGACCATATATTAAGATTGGATTTGTGCCCTGCATAGCCCCATCTTTCTGAGGATTGAAAAGGTAGAATGGCCTGACTCTAGTTTATTTCTTGTACTGTGTAGCAAAACCAGACCTAACCCATCATCTCCACATTGATCTTAGAATTAATTAGTTTATGACTATTTAATGATCTCTAAGCAATCTTTCAATTTTTATTTTTTTTTTTATTCCTTCAACTAATACTGGGGTTCTATACTGCATTCTCTGTTTTCAAGTGGTGTTTGTCCTCTAGTGGGCAGACTGACTTCTGTAATCAAAGAGCCACCAGCTTGTTATCATCAGTGAAGTATGCAGCCATAAATTGGGAGCAAGAAGATAACCATTTTTAGATGTTTGAACATGATCTCACTCAAATGCTGTGGTGTGGGGTTTTAGGAGTTATACTTTCCCCCTTGAAATATTTATTAAGATATTTATTTAATCTGTCTACTGGGATCCTGATTTTGGGAGGAATAGTAGTTGCAACTATGCTAGCCTGGGTGTTTTTGAAGAGGAGGAGGGAAAGTCTCTATGAAAGCAAAGAGTATGGTCCTCCTACTGGTAGATACTCCTGGTTTGAAAGGTTCTGGTCTAGCTGCCAAGGGTAAGAGGATGCCATATAGGGAGAAGGGAGGAAGGAGAATGTCTAAGACCCTTTACTGGAGGTAAGTAGCCAGTATTTAGATATTCACAAAAACTTAAAGGCTGTTCTTTGAAGCAATTCAGAGAATAAAAACAATTTTAAGCGAATTGTGAGTGCATCACTATTACTTTAATTCCAAAGTTCAACTTTGTATCTCATTCCATTATTTAGTGTTAGTAGTTAAAATATCCCAAAACACCCAACCTTCTCACCTATCTATCACCTAACTTTCTTCGTGTTCTACTTGTTTTATTTCTAGCATATTATCAAGTTTCACCGTGCCTCAAAAGCAAATAAAAAGCCCATGCAGTTGCCAAGATCTATGGTTAAATCCCTCCTCTACCAGATCCTCGATGGAATCCATTACCTCCATGCAAACTGGGTGCTTCACAGAGACCTGGTAAGTGTGGCATGTGATACCTGCCCCAGAGCGTTGCACGTGCGTGTTCTTGGGGAGGACAAGAAAAGCCCCTGTTCGTAATCTGGCGTATCGATCCCTACAGCTCTTCCTGTTATTGTTGCAGGAGCCCAGTTGTGACTTTAAACATGAAAACAAACTATGCTTTCACATTGTTTTTATCTGAGTCATCTGAGCTCGGACAATGATGCCAGATCCGGTAAAGGGATTGCAGATATCAATATCCAGAAACAGTACGTGAGACAGCTGATACATGTTGGGTGAACATTCTTACAACTTTTCACATGACTTTGAAAAGGCATCTAAATAGAGTGATTGATACCCTTTTACATTGTTTGGCTTACGTGCAACTTAGCATAAAAGCTAGTGAAAGAGTAGTTTTTTCATGGAGTATTTCTTTTCCATGTGGTATTTTTTCTGACCGTGGGAAGAGAACTATAAAAGAGTTATCATCTTGAAATTTCTCATGACCTGGAGTAGCTCTTGAAGTTGATTACAGATTACAAGGGCAGTCAGTTGCCTTGTTTTAGTTCTCTTTTAAAGTTTTCCATCGCTCCTCATAATTACTTGAAGTGCTACTGTGGTTTATGAAAAGAATGCTAATACAGGTGTTCTTCCTCTTGCATTCTAACTAGAATGCTTGGCATGAAGCAATGCGATGGTTAATATGCCAAACAATGCTCTTAGGTATGGTAATCTGTGTATAAAGTCACTGCTTTTATTTTGGTTATTTTTGGTTTTTCATAATTGCCTCAGCATGTCAAAATAGGGCTGTCTGTCCAGAAACTTAATCACTAATTGTTCTTGAGTTTTTAATAGTAAGTAGGGACCTTGATTAATCTTTGGTTGTGGACCAAATTTTTTTTTTAATAATAAGTAAAAAGTAAGGCAGGCCTGCAATACAAGTCACAAACATTTTCTGAACTGAATTTTATTTAAATTTTTTGTAATACCTAACAACAGTGGCCAGAGCGGGTTTCAGTTTTCATTATGGAACTTTTTTTTTTTTTTTACTCTGTTCCTTGGTTGTTTATCATTGTTTTTTCTGTGAAATTCCAGATGTTAGTATATTTGGGGAGGGATAGGGGGTGTGGTTTGCCTTTGGAATAGTAGCCAGGACCAAAAAACAGGAAGCATGTACAACTCTGATTTTCATGTTACAATTACTACTTTCCTAAAGAGTCAGGTGCTGCTTTGGCAGAGTGCTCAGCTGTGATTAGGTCCAGCTTGAGAAGTAACACCTGGAAAGTCTATATCCAGCTCTAAGGGAGGCACACCTCTTCATGGAACTGTTAAGTACATAGACACTTAAATGCCATCCATACACTCGTTATTTTGATAGGAAATACGAGATGGTATCTAAGACAATAACAACAAATAGCCTTGAGAACTTTCTTGCTGGTGTTGTTGTTTTCAGCCTGCAGCACCAGGTGTTTTGCGTGACTGGTGCTGCTGCTTTGCAGTTCTTACCCATTGCTGATGACTTGCAGCAAAGCTGTTGTCTAATGTCTTTGTCTTTTCTTTTGGAATGTTGGGAGATGATGGTTTCTATTGTGAAAAAGACTGTATTATTTGGTTCTGAAATGATAGTGCTTGAATGATGTTAGCATTATTGAGAAGGGAGAAGAATAGTAATTTGTGAAGTCTTAGTGTGTTCTTGGTCTGCAGATAAATGTAAACTGATGGGTTCTAGGATGCCTCAGTAAGACAAAGGAAACCATTTCAAAAATTGCTTTGACACGCTAATGATTTAAAAGTATAATCAGAATCCTTTGCCTTTTAAATTTTTTTTTCTGGATTTCTGAAGAATTCAGGTATGTCAAATAGTTACATCTTGACCATGGTAAGAAAAAAAATGTTATTCTGGATGTGTCCTTGTGTCTGCACTTGAAATTAGAGGTTAATATAACTAGCAACCAATTTAAATCCTGGATTAACCAATATTTTTTCATCTATCTGTAATTTTTATGTGTATGCTCATGCTTCTAATTTTTTGCTACTAAGAATGATACTCAGATACAGTTTCACTGGCATCAGTTTCTTGCATAATACACAAATACCAGCTCCTCAGTGTCTTCTTAAGATGTGGAACAGTTTTTCTGGTGGTTTTGTCTTAACTGTTTGAATTTGCAGCTGCTGGAAAAACTATTTTTCTATTCTATGTAAACCAAGTTTTGCATCAAAACACCTTGTACTTTCTTGGTTTAATATAACTCTGTTCTTACTATTTTTAACCTGTATTTGGATGAAGACCAAAAATGGTGACATCCATAAAAGTCATGTTATGTTTATTTCATTGCTCAATAAAATTAGATTCTCTGAGAATATTTATCATAATATTAGTCAAATTCTCCTGAGCCATGGAGATGACCTCTGTAATTTATTTAACACATGTTGTTGTGAAAAACCAGAAACCTGGGAGGTTAAGTATTTGCTTAGAGGTATTTGAAGAATATTGTTTAAATCTTAATTTACTACTGCCTTAAATCAAAGAGGTTTTTAAAGAAGCTGGAATACCAAATTCATTGCTTAAAAACCTTAGAATTACTAAGATATTTTTAGTTAAATAATTTTTAAGATCAGCTGTAGTCAGCAAGTGCATGACAAGGTGATAAAAGTGGTGAACAATGTGAACCTGCCATGTCCTTTCCTTGGGCTGAGCTCATGGATGGCTGTTACCACAAGGACACATTCTCCTTTCCCTCTTCACTGCCTGGCAGGGGACACTCACCTGGCTCCTGGTGAGCTCATTCAGGGAATTAAACCCACACCAAGTGTCACAGAAAGCTTTTCACCTGCAGAGCTTGTTTTCTGCAGGGTTAGGTCCCAGAGGGACCTCACTGGGGGCTTAGCTGGGTGTGCAGGAGCTGGCGCAGAGGCAGCGTGAGGCAGGAGGTGGTGGCAGAAAGCTCAACAGAGGCCATTCAGCATCACCTGTCATTAGATCTGGTTATTTTATTGTTAAAATGCACTATTTTGATTCTTAGGAGGGAATGCAAGTGTTCTTATAAGATTAAATTGGTGAAACTTTGTAATGCAAGACTTAGAGCAGTTTAAGATGGCCAATGCAAGTTCAGTTTAAGGAAAGTGCTCAAATTGAGGCAAACATCAAATAGACTTGTCCTCATGCTTCAAGAAATTGGAAACTAATTTAGTGTTGTGTATCTTTCAATTGTTTGTAGTATTTGGGTTATTTTGAGTCTGGCTTTTGTATTCTGAGAGTATCTGTAAGGTGCTAAATTACTTTCTAGGTATTTTTTTTAAGCTAAGCTCTTAATTTCTCTCAGTTAAAAACCATTCAGCCTTTATGGCAAGATTCAAACAAGTATAGACTATGGGACAGAAACACTGGGTTACTGATTTCTTTCAATAGCCTTGTGTCGGTTTATACACCTTGGAATTGACTTAAGTCTGTGAAAATCCATACATTGGTTTTCCTGTGAGCCCCTTTTGAGTGGGATTTTGCTGTTGAATTGCATGCCATTGGGCAATGATAATTTTACCTTTTCAGCATAGCAACGCTCCTGAAAGCTGTGTATGAGAGGAGGGAGGATTTGCTGGCTTTGCTAGCTGCTGGAGTGATTCATTATGAACAAGAGGTTAATAGAGATAGATATTGGAGAAAAAAACCTTTGAGTACTACACTTTTGGCTTTTTAAAATAGTCTATATACACTGTGGGCTGTCTGCTTAAACGGGGTCTAACCAGTGCTCCATACCTTGAGGTAAGAGCAAGCACTTGAAGTACACTATTTCAGGTGTTCTGAGGTCTTTGTCCCCTCCTCTCCTAGAAGGGAAATATTTAGATTATACAGGATTTTCAGCAAAGGTCTTAGCTTGCCAAGATGTCAAAAAATGGAGATCTTCCATATAGTGTTTGCAATGTCTGTTCATGTTAGCAACCAAAAGGATTTGAGCACTTTGTTGTTCTAACAATCCTTCTGTGGATTAGTTGCTTAAGGTCAAAAGCAGGTAGAGAACATATCCTCTATGACCTGATAAAAGCAATTTCTATATGTAACAGCATGTACTTTCCTGAAGGGAGGTGTTATCTATGGGATGTTTGAAGTGCACAGAATCCATATGGAGAAATTAAAGATTCCACTTATGTGCCTTGGGCATTTCTTTAGAATACTGCTTAATATTAAAACGACTGGTTGAAAAATGAGTGCTGGAAATCAAACTCACCACAGAAATGCAGATTTCTTCTTCCCCTCCCCAGGGAGTTTAATGGTTCAGAATCTAAGGATTCTGAAATAGAAAACTTGCTTGTGATGGTCATATAAAGTAACTTTGTAAAATGAGCAAAGTTGCTTAAGTGTTTTTATTATATAAACATTAATCTGGAAACATCTGTGTCCATGTGGGGTTTTCTCAGTGTACCATGTTCTCTCCAAATTAACTTTTCACTCTAATTTCACTAATTCACTAAGGAGAGGGAGGAGGAATCCAGTTGTGGTAAAGACTTTGGTACTGGTTCCCTATATTCAGTTTTTTTATTACCATCTCCTTGTCTCTTAAAGAAGGATAAAATAATATCTGTATTCTGTAGTTTGTTTCACTATGTCATCTGTATTGGGAGAAGCTATTTTCATTATGTGCTTAAGCTAAGCAGTTTGTTTCTTTGTGGAGTGGATTAGGGAGGATCTCTGTGCTTCTCCTGCCTTCAGAATTTATGGAGAGCTAATCTGGGCATTTTTGGTGAAAGGACATAGCAGACAACTGAGGCTGAGATAATTTTAACTCCGCATGTCTGTCTGTATAGTAAATATCTATATGCAGCCTTTAGGCTGATCAGATATGTGAGTTCTTCAATTCTGTCATCTTAACAAGTACCCTGGATACCCAGCTGGTTGTAGGAACAGGAAGCCAAGGGTATTTTTCCAAGGGTGAATTTTGAGCAGAGCCAAGAGATGCTAGGGTGGTGTGTGGCTCCAGCTGGCCGTGATTGCACTCAGGGCAGGCTGTCTTCTCCAGTGGTCC